AAGCACATTTAAATTTATTTAAATATTATTTATCAAAAGTGTAGTTACCTCCGTTTTCAACGGCTGCAGTCGAACGGTAAAGTGAATTTTCGATTCTACGTGTAAAGTAATTTGTCTTTTTTCATTTTGTCTTGAAATTAAACACCCATTTTTCCTCACGTGTAACAATGTGACAGAAAAATTAATGGCCGGCATTCCCAATTCCTTTTTTGCAAGGTTTCCTAATGCGCTTCAGATACTGGTGGGCAGTTGAACATGGCACATTAAGTTTCAGGACCAAATCTCTGCTGCTCTAACGTGGATCCTGTTAAAAAACCCTTTCCAGTAATCTTCTTTCAGAGATGCCAGAGTGAGATGCCAAAGCGAGATGCCTATGCCACAATCGTTTTTTTTGAATCATTTTAAACCACAGTCGACTTCACTGCACCCGTAGACATACCACAACTATTTTAAATGTTTCCATAACGGTACTATAGTTTTGGAATTCATACGGTAAGCAATTGCAAATATCTTGCTTTTCGGTTAGAAGACACAATAAACTAATTCTAGACGCAGTTTCGTAGCATTCAACCTTTGTTGATTGAGTGAGAATTCATCGCTGTGTAATAAGTAATTATTTTACGAACATCTTAATATATAAATAGGAACGTTTAAACAAGGTGTAACTTCTTTTATTTTATCGTCCGGTTCATACTCCTTCTACATTATTGTAATATAATAATCCATTTTACAATAAAATTCATTCAAAAAGACAATTAAGATATAGAACATATATTTAGATATTTCCCGTAACTCTATGATGTCATCTTTTTTTTAATACATTCCTTTAAAAATAAACGTACGTTTATTCTCCAATCCCTAATAAGTCGGATTTGTGGTACGTTCTATATTTTTTTTTTATTTTTTAACCATCTATATCTATCCCAGCAGAGATCCTTTTTGCCTACTGTTGACATTATCGTCTTTTCTTTAAAAATATAGGAACGAGTTGTATCAACTTCTATTGATCTCCGCATCTAATTAACAATTCACAACAAATTTCGAACGTCGGTCCCCCGACATATTAAGCACGTTAATGACCAATATGTACTAAAATTTGAAAGTTAGTAGAATTTGATAAATAGAAAACAAAACTGTATAATTGTCCTTATTTTAAAATTATTTCAATATTTTGATTTAATTTTTGTTTTACATATGTAGGCATTAGTTTATCTGGAGGTCCAAATTCTGTTCTTTGATGGTGAGACTGGAGTGACCTCACCAGAGCGCTGGCATTGTCGATTATATATGTAGGCTGTGCGCTATCCAAACTACATACCGCCACCTACTATCTACAGTACTGGCAAGATCCAGATGAATACAGTGCATAACTTTGTGACCGGCTAGGCTGAAGGAGTTACCGTTTTCCTATTTTCGTGTTCGGGTCACCTCTCCAAGTTTTCTGTCTGGATTTACTTCCGTAGCCTTTTCCGTGTTTGGGTGGATATGACCACAAAGTAGCAAAGGTTAAAGATCAGGGTTTTCTTTCCCCTAGATAGACTGCCTGCATGTGGCCTCGACCTACATCTCTCCAAATTTATATAACGTATATATATATTTATATAACAGCCAATTTATCACCCGCTGAACATAATTCCGAATAAATTAGCCCAGGACGAATAAATAAATCACACTATGTCATATTCAGAGTAGCAATAACAGAAAAAAAAGATTTTTTTCTGAAACTCAAACCTTAATAAGAGAAGAAAAATCGGAAACGCTGTTTCTATTAAAAACTTTGAATGACGAGAATAGTAATGATTCATGCTCGATTCTTTTTCCTTTCTGATGTCAACAGGCGCGGTAATTTTTAACACAATTCACGCATTGCATTATTTACGTTTGCAGAATAATTATCAACGGTATTTTTATTTAAAATATTTGAAAGGAATGTGTACAACATGTTTTCCTATTTTCTTGTTCTACGTCTCAACTCTACGTAAATACATTACATTTTAACAAGTCCTTCGTGTGAATTAATCATAGCCTTGAAAATAGCAACGGATAAATCTTGTCTGTTTAGAGTTGGCCACCTGGTCTACTTTGGATATTTGGAATTTGGAATGGCAAAGTGGAAGATATTTGAACCAGAAATCTTTAGACATAAGTGTTTAATACTCGCTGTAGATTAGTGGCGAGTAAGATCTTTTAGCAAAATTTGATTCTTTTATTAAGTTTAATATATCCTCATTTGGTACTCTACACTTATATTTTTCTACCTAAAGTAATCTTACTAAATAGCTATACCAATACTTGACGAATTACAAAGGTTGGAGCGTTATAATTTCAGATAATAATTACCGATATTCGTTTAATGATTACTGAAGGCGATCCTAAAGCTCGGTATCAAATACTTTTCTATTTACAGAATTTATAATCATTCGCAAATAAATATAAGATAAAAATAAACGGAACCATTCTCCAATTAGCTAAATTCCAATTATTTAATGGACGTCTGTTAGCTTTGCCTGTTCTTATATTATTCTCTTATCAGCAAGACTTTAATGATCACTTCTAGAATCTTCTTTATTTGCCGTGTCCTTTAAGGACATAGGCGATCATGGCCCTCCATATCTTCTTGTTCCTTGTAGCTCTTAATAAGCGTTGTCTTTATGCTATATCTCCCAAACCCTGTTCTACCATCCAGTTACTTAAGCCCATTAAGTATGTTTCGCACTGTTTTCTCTGTCCTTCTTTCCCTCAAACTGTCCTGTGAGTATTAGATTTTCCAAGTCCTCCTTCCTCATTACGTTCCCCAGAAATTTAAACTGCCTGTTCCTGATGTTAAGTATAAGTTTCTTTTTTGTTTGCAAAACCTCGTTGTTGCTCACATTTTCGGTCCAGGGTATCCTCAGCAATTTTCTGTATAACCCCATTTTTGTTGCTTCAAGTCTCTTCTTCCTCTTTGAGGAGATTGACCAGCATTTGCTGTCATTCAGGAGGACAGATATCACGTAACAATATTTTTTCCTCATGAATTTAACTTTTTGGGGTACGATATTCCTTTATGCTTTACCCATAAGAAAGACAAATAGACCCAAGATCTCCGGAACGAAATGTCCTTATTTCCTATACAGCAAGTAATGGAATAGGCTTGTGAGTGTATTTCTCATCCCTTATGATCGCAAGATGAGAATCTATTTTTCTCGCGGACTGTTGTCGTCGCAGTTCACCGGAAAAATAAAATTACAATACCAAAATCTCCCTTGCTGATGTATGTCACGTAAGCGTAGCTGACCGATTCTTACTCACTTTCTTATGAGGTCATTCTGTTTGATCTCAAGCAGCCCCAAATTCTCTTCCTTTTATTTCTCAGAAGGTCATTTTTTGTTGTCAAGCGATCCCAGATGCCTTTCCTGCCCTCTCTTAGCCGAAACTCGACTCAGACCAGATAGATAGTAAAATAAATAAAAGAAAAGGAGAAGGAGAAACATAAAGACAACGCGTCTCCTATTAAATTTATTGTACGTTTGATTTAACAGTTAACACTGAGAGCCATGTTAAATTAAGTATTAATGAAATAGACAAGCATACTCCGTTTCATTACACTTGGCGCCAATGTTACACATTTCTCTACTGCAATTTAGTTGAAAAACATTTTGTTTGCGTTAATATTTTCAATTTATTTTTTAGAAATAATTTCAAGTATGTGGGGTCTGTATAATAATTTAGTTATTTTTCTGTTCGCAAAATTTCACAAGATAACATGAAACATTACTATGGCTTTTATGGACAATAACTGGGACAGAGAATATCTTTAGAAATTCGTTTGCTCTGCTATCTATGTTTTTTCTTGCAATTGCTGTAGATTTCACCAATTCTTCTGGTACTTCAAGCATTCCAAAATATAAAGTTATAAAACTATGTCGTAGCTGTTCGTAGTCTATTCGTGATATAGAAGGTCGTTCCTTGCTTTTATATTTTTTTGATATTTATTATTGTTAATTCTTTTTATTTTTGAACCCATTCTGCTTCTCAGGTGTATGTACTTGGCATTCTGGCAAGTAATAAAATTCCTTTGCAAGTTTTTATGCTAGTGTTTCTACATTATAGGTAAGCAGATTATGGGCCTGTTATTTCTTGTAACAGTTGCCTCATAGTGACTTTTTTCAAATAGCGCTTCATTGCATTTTATCATCTATTCAGGAATTGTTCCTTCCACCAGGCATTAGTGTAAATCTTATTGAATTCTTCATGTACTTATCTGACATTTTAGTACTGGAAAACAAATTCCAGTGTAACTTCATGTTAAACAGTATCTAATTTTCCTTTGAATCATTCTTGAGAGATATACATTTATTTATTTATTTTTTTTTGTGGATTTAATATTTAGGTGCGCCAGTTCTTACCAATATCTAATTTCTGAAATATGTTCCTTCCTATAATTCCCTGATTGAACACAGAATGTTTCAATCGGGTTCTCTTCCGTTGGCCTTTGTTCTCAATTTACCTGCCAAATCAAATGTCTTTTTTCTCTTCATAAGTTAATTCTCTATATCTTTAAAATCTAACACGTTAGCTATAATTCTTTGATTTATTTCATATTAAGTGGTTGGTTTGTCGTGTTATATCTTATATTTTTATTGGATTATTGCATTCTTGTACAAAGTTTTGATATCTCCACGTCTCTTTATAAAATTATAATTTATTGCTTTAATCTTATCTCCCGTCCTGAGCTAGTCATTTTGTTATTTCACTTTTTTTTTTTCTGTATAATCTAGATGCTTGTTTCATGGACAAAGACGATTTGTTTTTTTTTTTTTGGACCAAGATGATTAAGTTGCTTCGTGGACTAATATTATAGCCGCTACTTTAAATTCCCCACTCTTTTTCAAATCGCTGATGTCATGAACACGTGTTGTCCATCGAAAATGAAAAAAAGATCAACGATAAAAGTGAAATAAAATAAAGGAAGAAATTTCAAGCATCACGAAAGGAATAAAGAAGCACATAAAACTTACATCTGGAAAGAGTTGTATTTCGGCACCAGAAAAATAAAGGAGGTGACAAAAAAAGATAGAAAAATATGACAAGAAGAGAATGAGGGTAGAAAAAGGGAAGAAAGGAAAGAAGGGAAAATAAAAAAAAAGAAGAAGAAGGGTAGAAACTAGGAAAAAAAGGTTACAGGTAAAACGAAGAAGAAAGAGAGAATGAAGAAGTCATTAAAAAGCTGGCAAAAAAGAATAAAGGACGCTGAGTGAATGAAAGCTAAGAGGGAGGAAGATCAAAAGAAAAATATAAGGAAGAAGTAAAACAATGACAGAAAGCAGTAGAGAAATAGTTGGCAAAAAAAGAAAAAAAAAAGAGAATAATTGCATCAAGTAAGAAAGATATGAAAAAGAAAAAAAATGACGTAGAATAGAATAAATCTTGTATAATAATCTGATTGGCTTTGATATGTTTGCCACGACAACACAGTAAAAAATGGCACGTCATAGCGAGTTTCTTTTAGAGCAATACCGTTAACATTAATTATCTACCATCGCATGATGAGGGATAATTTTTAAAGTTCCGAAACATGGACATTTTAGTGTAGCGATATAAAATATTATAATAAAAATATTTATTATTATAATAATATTTTGCTCTACGTTGTATTGAGCGCTTTTTAAAAAAGTAAATATTAAAAACCGGATTCTTAATCTGTCTGTTCTTTCTTTTATTTATAGATATATTTATACGCACATACAAACACACACACACACACACACACATATATATATATATATATATTTATATAATATTTACACGTACACACACTCACACGCACACCCATATATATATATATATATATATATATATATATATATATATATTTACACACACACCCATTCACACACACACACCATATATATATATATATATATATATATATATATATATATATATATATATATATATGTATGTATGTATGTATGCATGCATGTATGTATGTATAACCAAATAGGAAAATATAGGTATGTATACGAGCGAGCAATAGTATACAAATATACAAATAAATATAAATACTCTGTCGTGTAAGAAAAAACAGTGCTCAATGTTAAGTAACAGATCTATTTGATACATATATATTTTGGCTTGATATCGGTGTCAACCCAAAATATAAATAAATAAATAAACATAAATATAATAATTCCAGTATTTAAAAATTGCTTCGGCATGAAATTCGAAACCGTGAAATTAATGCAAGATAATATGTATATTTCTTTATTTCTATATATACTCACCCCAAGAAAAGCGGCAATATCATTAGAACGTATGCGTTTACAGGGAGTGTCAGAGAATGAGATGACATTAGTGTGGAGAAATGAGAAAGGACAATAAATGAACAGGTCTCAGTTAGAAGAGGGTGACCGAAGTTGCATTTAAAATATTGAAGTTTTTAGGCGACAGAGAAACAAGTAATCAGAAGTGGATTCCACAGGGGAGAAAAGTCATTTAGAAATAGACTCCTGCTGATTAGGGATTATTAGACGTACAAGCAAAGCTTCTTTTTATGCATTTTTAATTTAGGTCTAGCTAATTATAGGCATTTTAAATGCTTTTCTGGACGTAGGTGAACATAACTCCCCACAAATTCCTCTTCTTTATTATCTATGAATTGCCATATCTCCTTGGGAAATATAGTGACGTGTTTTTCCGCTGTTTTCTCCACGATCCGGAATTCAAAGTTTTCCTTCACTTAGACTTGTTGACACCTAAGGACAAAGAATCCAGTCTACCCTGCTCTTTCAACGGTAGATGCGGGCGGGGAATAAGAAAAAGGCTGGTTCTTACCTTTCCAATGTTTATTTGTGAATGCAACTGGCCAAGCCTGGAATTTGAACTCATCTCGCCCAGTCCCTTTCCCACACCGATATACATTTACAGTACCCGCACATCCACTTATAGCGTAGTTTCCAATCATTTATTTATTTCACAGGGGGCAGCAGAAACACATCCCACATATACCTCCCAGAAATACCGCTCATGTAACGGTATGACATTAATGGCAAGTCTTCATCTAGCTAATATCTTACCATTCTTGGATGTATATGTGGGAAATATTTCTGCCGCAAACTGTATTTAGTTACAACAAATTAAATACAGGGTACGACAAAATTAACGACATTTATTTATTAATTTTTATTGAACAAAAATAAATTACAACAGAGAAAATGTATGAGCATTGTCACATAAAAAATTATATGTTATGATTAACAGACTAGTTAACATGTTCAAAATGCTTCCTTTCATGTTCAATAAAACGCTGAACCCTATCAGTGACACTTCTTATAAGCCATTTTGACACATTTCTACATTAATTTCGGAAAATTTACCAGAATTTTTTTCTTTTAATTTCGAGATTGTTTTCGGTTTGAGCTTGTAAACAAGATCTTTCATTACACCCCACAAGAAAAAGTCTGGTGGTGTTAGATCTGGTGATTGTGATGGCCACTCAGTTGTCGTCCTATCAACCTCAACTCGAAAAAAGAAAAAAGAAAAAAGGGCGTTACTTTTGCCGCAGCCAGTATATATTCTCTAAAAAAGAAATGACCAGTTATCAAATTTAAATGCTGCTTTTAAGTGACTAAATCTGTTGTAAGATGTAAGAAACCAGTGAACAAATGTGGAAAAGGAACGAGCGGGTATGAAAAGAATTGAGAACATGAGACACAAGGGAGAAAACGAGGTTAAAAGTAAAAAGAACAGAACAGAAGGGAAAGCTTTTAATGAATAAAGAAAGGATATGAAGGGGAGTATTTAAAAAATGAATGGAAGAAAAAGCGAAATCTCGAGACGGAAACAAGAAATGTGTGAAGATAAGGAAAAAAAAAACTTTAAAATGAAAAAAAAAAAAAAAAAACGGAGTAGAAAATGGAGATTGTTATGAAGTGTAAGAGATTAAAAAAAAAAATAAAAAAAAGGACACAAAAACTTCTTTTTCATCACGAATAACAGATTTGTCTGATTCTATGCGACTAAGTCTTTCTCGAATAGGACCTCCCGGATTTATAAAGTGTTTTTTTTGTCTATTTAATATTATTTCTTTCTTTCTTTCTTTCTTTCTTTTTTTTTTTTTTTTTTGATTGATTGATGGCGGCCGGTTGTAATGTATTCAGTATAACTCCGTTCTTTCTTTTTCTTTTTCTTTTTCTTCTGTGTATCGTAAGCCTTTCAGAATATAGCCGATCATGGTTCTCCACAGCTACTTATCCTTGAAAGCTGTCAGCAATGTTTTTTTTGTTTGTCCTCCCCCCACCCACCATTATCTGTTCTGCCATCCATTTACACATGCTCAGTATGTAAGTTTCTGTTTTTTAATCCTTTCACCCTAAGCAAGGAAATAAAGCCACTAAGAAGCAAGTGTTTACTGAGTGTTAGAGAACACGAGAAAAATAAAACACCATTAAGGAGAGTGAACAATAAAAGAACAATCATTAAGAAAACAGTAGAAAAAAGTTGACATTGCACTTAAATCTTTGAAGATCAAACTTGACTGGGAAGCAAGAAGTCGGAAGAATGTTCTACAAGCGAGAAATGCGAAAGAAGGAACTGTTAACATAGAACTTACGGTTACATATAGCCATTTAAACTGTAAAATGGTGAGACCTTGCAGCCAATCTAGTACTACGCTTAAATTCATAAAGTCTAAATAACATAGAAAAAAGTGATATTCATTTATTTTGGAAATAAAAAGCTGTGGCACAAGGCCAAAAGGAGGGATAGGAGAATGCTGATCTTCAATCTGTCTTATCTTAAACTTAGCTAGCCACAATCACTGATCTAAACATATCATAGTATTCCTTACACCAAAGCATTCTTACTTAACATTCTTATTACGGGCACCATATTGCCTTAAATTTCCATAGAGAAAACTTCGTCAGAACAATTACCATGAAAGTATTTATAGAAGAAGAACAAAGAAGGTACGTTAAGCCGAAGGGAAAGTGACTGAATCCGATATGACGGCCCAGGACCAATAACATTGCAGATTCTTCTTTGTATTTTATCAAGAATCTCTAAAGCAAAAATGAATGGTAAACTTATAAATATATAGGGTGTTTCATTAAGACGGATTATATATAAGGATGTTTCATTAAGACGGATCAAAGTTAGCAGTAAATAATCAATGTTATTAGTGAAAATTTATTTATTTCTCTATTGGATCATGTTATTTAAATCATGGCAATTATGTGTGAAAAATAATATCGCCCAAATGTCCACCAAGTCTGAAAGAAAAAGAAAAAAATCATTAGGCGCTTAAACTGAATTCACATTTAAAATCGGTTCAAGTTATCAGAATACACTGTATAAGATAGTTCCTGGCGAGAAAAATTGTCTAGCACGAGACAATGAACCAGCTTTTCTTGCAGCAGATCTAGCTATTGATTAAATATAATCTTTCCACTTCATGTCGGTGGAAAAAGTTAGTTCGAGAGATATTTCATTATTGTATATAAATAAACTAAAAACAAATTAACGAGTCATATTTTGAAATGATCTTATTCTTCTATATGCCCTGTCCCTTCAAGACGTTGGTTTTCTACAAAATTCTGTTATTTGTAGCTCTTAATTAATTATATCACATCTAAACCCTGTTCTGCCAGCCATTTACTTAAGCTCGCTAGGCATGTCATACGTCGTTTTCATCTATCGCTCCTGCTTTCAAACAGACATGTTAGTATCAAATTTCCAAAGGTCTCCAGAGCTATTGAGGTATAAAAGTTATCTTTTAATTTTCTTCGTTTTGTTTTTTCGGTGAATTATTTGACGAAATAAACATTTGACCTAACGCTTTCGGTGAAGCCAGTTTTCGGACAAATGACATTCACTGTTATGATTGCGTTCCTTGGTAACTTAGCCTGGATTAAGTGATCGGCCTGATTTTCAGTGTCCCAGGGAATTATGCTTTACATTCGCTAGAAATGCTCAAGATTTGGGCAATTACCATTAGTGTTGTAGCTTACCTACGGACGAACCCGTTTTATACCGGATCCAAGGGGAATTTTTGGCTGAGTCTACGGGCTTGGATACCCCACATTAATTTCGGGCTTGTGCCACATCTGACCGCGTGGGGCGGTTGATAGATATCCTAGAGTCGGGGATTCGTCTCCAGTTATGCTG